AACAAACTGAGGGTTCTAGAGGGGAGGGGGGTGGGGGATGGGTTAGCCTGGTGATGGGTATTAAAGAGGGCACATTCTGCGTGGAGCACTGGGTCTTATGCACAAACAATGAATCATGGAACACTACATCACAAACTAATGATGTAATGTATGGTGGTTAACATAACAATAAAATTCATATTCCAAATAAAAAAAAAATAAAAAAAAAAACAAGGTCAAAATGTGCTCCTGTGATTTCTAAGAAGTTCAAACTCATTCCTAAGCTGTGCAGTCACACTCCCTAGATCCTTTCCATTTCACAAGGTTCCTCTTTAACCTACCGTTATAGCAGGATAGCTAAACACCCGAATGCTTTGCTTGTTTGTTGTAACTTCAGTTGAGAAATAGAAGCATTTCACATTCCTCAGCTCTGAAAACTAGAAGTGATTTTGGAAGCAGAGTCGTATGCTCAGATGCTTCTTCTGAGCGTAAATGTTAAGCTCTTTGGATATGTTCCTGTGCAATTTCTTTCTTTTTTTTTTTCAATATTTTATTTATTTATTTGGCAGAGAGAGACGGAACAAAAGCAGGGGGAGTGGGAGAGGGAGAAATAGGCTCCCTGCTGAGCAGGGAGCCCGATGTGGGACTCGATCCCAGGACCCTGGGATCATGACCCGAGCTGAAGGCAGACGTTTAACGACTGAGCCACCCAGGCGCCCCTCCTGTGCAGTTTCTTGACTCCCCACCCCCAGTTGCTTTTGTGTAATTTCTTCAAAATCACAAGGAAACTGCAACCACATGTCATTTCAAATTAGTGTGCAAAGAGCTTAAAAGTGTACAGGTACTTCTCTTATATTATTTAATTTAAATATTTCATAATGGAACTTAGTGGCATTCCAGAATTATCCTGAAAGCTGAAAACACAAATTATTCATTACTGGCACTCATGAAAACACTTTTTCAGTATAACCATTTATGAATCTTCAGCTGTTTTGTTTTAAATTCTAGCTGACACCCTCAGAGTTCCTGAAGGAAATGTCCCTCACCACAGAGCAGAGGCTGGCTAATACACGTTTGATGTGCCGACCACAGATCATCGAACTTTTAGATATGGGGGAAACAACGCATCAAAAGGTAGCTGCCTTCTGTCATACTTGCTTATGAGGCACGCCCTGTAACTATGTGAACATTCTAGAACAACAGGAACTAAGTAATGGTTATTGTTTCTGGGCTCATTCCTTATTGCGTTTGTGTTACATATTCTTGTTCTACTTCTGTTGATCTTGATATCTGTGATTTAATATGGAGAGAATTATAATTAGTCTGTACAAATAACTTTTGACTAGTCACATTTCTTAGCTACTTCTGGACACTATTGTTTACAAATCAGGAGTAGTTCAAAGGATTATAGTAGCCAAATCCAGTTAATTCATCTTCTTAACACAACAAGAAATCCCATTCTTCCCTGAGCTGTCATCACTAGAAACGGAGAAGGTGGAATTGTTTATTAAAGGAGGCATTTGTTGTCTCTTCTGGCTCACTTCCAATAGCAAATGTATCCTTTTAGTCTCTAAAGAACAGTTATTTTAACCTGTTTCTATATTCTCATGTAAACCATGTATTCTGGGCTTTAGAAGCATATGATTATAAAATAAGGTCTTATTTCCTACTTTTAAATTAATTTCTTGAGTTAGATGCTTTCCTTTTTATGTACAAATTATGGTGAACCTCCATCAGCCAAACTGATGGAGATCTGCCTCTTCTCAAAGGCTTCCCCGGGCTATTCCTGAGAGATTTTCAGAGATCTTTCCCACGTGATGAATGAGTTCCTGAGGCTCTTTTGCTCTCACTGTAGCCCCATTGCCTCCCCTGTGTAGGATCTGCACAAAATTTGTTCTTCCTCTGAATACTGCTAGCTTTCGTTATTGTTTCTTCTCTTCTTTGAGGGCAGGAACATGGCTTCTCCCGGTGCTAACTCATCCTGATCAAGAGCTGTTTGCCCCTTTCTCATAGTGTAACTGAGACCAGGCTATGCATATTTTCCTGCATATACCGCTTGTGTGTGTTTTAATGTATTTTGACCCCTGCTATGAAGGATGACAAAATTAGTATACTTTACTCTATCTCATCATTTCTCTTCTTTCTTTCTCAACTCATTTGGTTATTTTTACTTTATTTTCTGGAGTTTCATTTGTTCTTAGTTGGGCGACAATCCTCTTCTACCAATATCTTCAAGAAGAGCCTATGGACACTGTACTTCCTTGGTTTTGTTTGACAGTATTTGCCTATTGCCTTTATGCTGAACCTCAGATTTGTTAGGTATAGAATTCTTGGGTCACACATTTTCCCCATATAAGCTGTGCAGGCATTTTCCTCACTACCTTCTGGCTTTAATGGTAAGCAGAAATATGATTTATAATGGTATGCAGAAGTATGATGATGCCAGCTTGATTTACCCCACTATAGATACATAAATCTTTTAGCTCTTATGCCCAAAGACTATTTATTCTAATTTAATATCCAGTAATTTTATTAGGATGTGACTAAACTTTTCCTGAGGTACTGTGTGTCTTTAGTTTACTTCTAGAAAGTTCTTCTTGAATTACCCAATATTTGTTCTTGCCATTTTTGGTTCTTTTCTTGAGGAATATCAGTTATGAACATGTTGGACCTTCTTTGTCTGCCCTTCTACATCTTGTATTCCCTTGCTGTCCATTTTTAATTTTCTGTTCATTTCCATTTCCTTGTAATTATATCCATCAGGCTATCCTCTGTGTCCCTTACTTTGAGTTTTGTGTATATGTGTTTCTCTTATAATTCATCCTTTAGCTTGACCAGTTTGGCACTTCTGAGTTGTCTCACAGCATTTGACTCAGTGTCTCTCTCTCTTTTTTTAAAAAAATATTTTATTTATTTATTTGACAGAGACAGACACAGCGAGAGAGGGAACACAAGTAGGGGGAGAGGGAGAGGGAGAAGCAGGCTTCCCGTCGAGCAGGGAGCCCGATGCGGGGCTGGATCCCAGGACCCTGGGATCGTGACCTGAGCCAAAGGCAGTCAGTGTCTGTTTTTTGTAGGTATAAAATTTATTATTTATTTACTTGTAGCTCAGATATCATATTCCTTTGATTTTGTTCCTACTTCACTGGTTGTTTTCTTCTTATTTTATTTTTTGGATCTCTCTCCTGTTCCTGATCACTAAATTTTGGGGCTCCCCTGGACTTGGTCCTTGAAGTTGTTTCTCTTCTGAACTCATTCTTTAGGTGACCCCCTTCTAGGAGCAGGCTTTAAATTCTACTTTTTAAATGATTACTTTCACAACTATTTCTCTTGGTATGGCCTATCCTCTGAACTCTGGATCACATATTCAGCCCAGTGAATGCTTGGTAGCTCAGAAATGTGTTACCTTCCTTCCCTAAAAACATGACCTTTTCTCCTTTGTCTCCTCCATCTAGTATATAGTAACCCCCATTTATCTATTTCCTCAGGCCAGAAACCTACCTTGGGATTATCTCTGATGCCTCTTTTTTTTCTTGCATCTTATATGAAATCCAATGACAAGTGCTGTAAACTTCTGCTTTCACAAATACGGCTTTACTCAAACTGCTTCTCACCACCTGGACCAGTACCCTCCCAGTTCAAGCCACCATCCTCTAGACTACTGAAATAGTCTCCCTGTTTCCATCTCATTGCCCCATCATCAATTCTGCACAAAAAGGAAAGAATGATTTTTAAAATGTAAATTAGAACATGTTACTTCCATGTGTAAAGCCATCCAACAGCTTCCTATTGCCCTCAGAGTTATAGGGTACTGCATCATCTAATCCTATTTCCCTCATAGATCTTTTTCTTCCACTCTTCCCTAGCTCATTCTCTTCTAGCTGTACCCCCCTCTTGTTGCTCTTCAAACACTCAGTGATGATCCTCACCTCAGGGCCTTTGCACTTGCTATTCCTTATAACTGTGATGCTATTCTCTCAGATCTTTGCAGGACTTGCTTAGATCTCTACTTGGATGTCTTTTCCTCAGGGAGGCCATCCCTTGACACCTATTGAAAAGAGCATACAACCTGCATTCACTCTGTCTCCTTGTTCTTTAGTTTTCTCCATAGCCAAATCACTGCCTGATCTCATTATTATACAATTCTTTATTTTTTTATCCATTATCTGTTTTTTTTTTTTTTAAGATTTTATTTATTTATTCATGAGAGACAGAGAGAGAGAGAGAGGCAGAGGGAGAAGCAGGCTCCCAAGGAGCAGGGAGCCCGATGAATCGATCCCAGGACCCTGGGATCATGACCTGAGCCGAAGGCAGACACTTAACCATCTGAGCCACCCAGGTGCCCTATCTGTTTTTTAATCTATTTCCCCAAGAATGTCAGCAAGGGCTTTGTTGGCTTTGTTTACTACTGTGTGCTTAACATTTGGAAAATACTGGAAACTCAATTAATTGGTATTTATTGAGTGAACACATGGATTTTTCCTCACTTTGATTGCTTAGGTCCTCCCTGCCTCTTAATTATTTGCTTTGTGCTTTCAGAATTTTTCCATTATGTCTTTTGCATTTATAGTGAAACAGTGTAGCCAGTATTTTCATTGCTTCATGGCAACTTTCCTGTTAACGTTCTTCACTTGCCATTTTCTTTGTTCCTTTGTTTTTCCTTGAATTTTTTTTATAGATCTTGATTTATCATTACTATTATTGTTACCACTCATTTTTGGAGGAAAGAAGGACATTTTTCCTGGATTTGCGATCTGCAGGCAATTCCTGTTGGGGCAGGTCCTGGCGGTGTCCCAGACCAGGAGGCATCCTTCATGAGTCTCAGCACAGCGTTTTATGAAGGAGGATTGTGTGTGTGTGTTTATTTGGAAGGGGGCTGAGAGGAAGGAAGGAGGACTGAGCTGTGTTAGCCTTTCACCAGAGTTGTGACTTGTGGGGCCCCTTAGGATCCAGAATCCTTCCCTTCTGGCCTGCCTCAGTGCCACACTGCTTCCTATAAACATGCAGATTTATGTGTTGCCCATTCAGCTCTCCCTTCCCTACTATTTCCTGGTGCCAGATGGCATACACGGAATTTCACGTTGCCATTCTCAGTATTCCAAACAAGGAGTTGGTGGTTTTGCCTATCAGAGTATGCCACCGGCTCTGGAGATCTGTATAGTGTAAGCCTTACCTGAGATCCGAAATCGTGGACGTTCTTGCTGGGCATCTTCTCTTAACCCTGGTTATTTGTGGCAGGAGGGTTGGGGAAGGGAGCTCAAGCTGCCAGTTACAACCTACACAGAGTCAATCTTGGGGTCTGTCATTTATGCTGAAATCCATTGTTTCCTTTGCACTATAAGGCCTCTGTCATATATCCGGTGATCCATATACAAGGATCTGTTTCTGGACTTTTTCACACCATTGGTCGGTTTATTCAAATCCAAAACACAGTATCTTAATTGCTATATACATATATTCATCTCTCTATATATATTCATATCTGTAAATATGAATTATATATCTATAATAAAAACAGTGGCAGAGGAAGGGTAGAGGGAGAGAGAGAATCTTAGGAAGGCCCCACGTCCAGTGCAGAGTCCACTGAGGGGCTTGATCTCACAACCCTGAGATCATGACCTGAACTGAAACCAAGAGTTGGACACTTAACCGACTGAACCACCCAGGTGCCCCACAAAACTACATTTTTAAGTAAAATTTTTATTGAATGTGTGTGTGTATATCATGAGCATATAGCCTGATGAATTTTAACTAAGTAAAGATACTCATATAACTACCACTCAGATGAAGGAATGTAAGCTTCAGCATTACCGGCATCCTAGAAGCATTCTTCTAGGATGAAGCTTTCTTATGCCCTTCCCAGTCAGTACCTGTACCTCTTCTCCAGAAGAACTGTTAATCATAGGTTTATTTTTCCTTCATTCAACCTTTATATAAGTGGAATACCACAGTATATACTCTTTAATTTCTGGCTAATTTAATTTAATATATTGTTTTGAAGATTTAGGTTGTTGTGTATAGTGGTAGTTCATTCATTTTTATTGCTGTATAGTATTCCATTTTATGATTATACCACCAATTGTTTATCCATTTTACTGTTGATGAGCATTTGTTTTTTTCCACATTTTGGCTCTTATAAATGATGGTGTTATAAACCCTCTTGTATATTTCTTTTAGTGTGCATATATGCAGTATGGGCATATACATAAAAGTGGAATTTCTAGGTTATAGGCTATATATACGTGTCTCTTTAGTAGTAATTGCTAGTTTTCTAAAGTGTTTATACTATTATACTGCCATTAGCTGTGCAGTCGGAATTGCTAATACTTAAGTATTAAGTGCTTGCTACTAATACTTAATATTGTCAGTCTCTTTAATTGAAATTATTCTATTGGGTGTATAGTGTTGTCACACTGTGGTTTAATTGCAGTTTCTTGATTTCTGATGAGGTTAAGCAACTTTTCATGTTTATTAGCCCTTTGGATATCATCTTTTATAAATCACATGTTTATGTGTTTTATCTATTTCTTACTGATTTGTGAAAGTTCTTCATATATTCTGGAGACTAGTCCTTTATCAATTATGTGTACTACAAATAATCTCTCATTCTTTGGATTTCTTTTTCATTTCTTTTCCTTTTTAAAAAGATTTTATTTGCTTATTTGTTAGAGAGAGAGATAACGAGAGCAGGAACACAAGCAGGGGGAGTGGGAGAAGGAGAAACAGGCCTCTTGCCTGAGCAGGGAGCCTGACACGGGGCTCGATCCCAGGACCCTGGGATCATGACCTGAGCCGAAGGCAGACACTTAACGACTGAGCCACCCAGGCACCCCTTCTTTTTCATTTCTTAAAGGGTATCTTTTGATGAACATGTTTTAAATTTCAATGTGACAAAATTTACCAATTTTTTCATTTATGTTTTGTATTTTCTGTGCCCCATTAAAGAAAATTTTGCATTCTTCAACATTATGAAGATATTCCTCTTGGTTTTCTTCTGAAAATTTTCTTGTTTTACCTTTCATATTGAGAGCTTTGATTCACTTGGAATGGTGTGTGATAGGGGTTAAATTGATATTTTTCCTATGGAATATCCAGTTAACCCAACACTATTCATTAAAGAGAATGTATCTCTTCCCCAATGCTTGTTAGTGTTACCTTTGTCCATATATTTAAGAATATATCTATTTAAGAATATATCAAGTGTCCATATATTTAAGAATTTGTTTCTGGACTTTTAAATCTGGTACATTTGTTTTTAGGATAAATCTTATGCTAATACTTCACTATTTTAATTACTCTGATAAGTAACAGTATATGATATATAATAATATAAGTCTTGCTACCTGATAAAGCAAGTCCTCCTATCTTGTTCTTTAAATGTATCTTGTTTATTCTTGGTCCTTTGCTTTTACATATACATTTTATAATCAGCTTTTTAATTTCCAAAAAAATTTCTACATGATTTTTTTAATTGGATTACATTGAATTTTTAGATCAGTTAAGGGAGTCTTTGACATCCTTAAAATATTGTCTTTCAGTTCATGAACATGGTATATTCCTGTATTTATGTAGGTCATCTTTAATTCCTCTCAAGAATGTCTTGTAGTTTTCCTGGATAAAGGTCTTACTCATCTTTCATTAGATTTATTCCTATGTATTTTATGTTTTGGGATGCTATTTTGAATGGTATTGTTTATAAATTTCATTTCCTAAATGTTCTTTGCCAGTACATAAAAATAGAATTGATTTTTGCTTGTTGCCCTTGTACTCAGTGACCTTGATAAGTAACTTATTTTTTTTATTAAAGATTCTTATTTATTTATACGAGAGAGAGAGCATGAGACGGGGGAGGGTCAGAGGGAGAAGTGGGACTCGATCCCGGGACTCCAGGATCAGGACCTGAGCCGAAGGCAGTCGCTTAACCAACTGAGCCACCCCCGTGCCCCAATAAGCAACTTATTAATTCTAATAGCTTATCTATAGGTTATTTTGAATTTTCTAGATAAGCGGCTTTTTTTCTTCTGGGGAAAATGACAATTTTGTTTCTTTTTAATCAATTTCTAATGTTAAAACAACTTTGAATTTCTGAGATAAACCCAATTTGGTCATGATGTGTTATCCTTTTTATATATTGTGGGTTTCAGTTTGCTAATGTTTTGTTCCTTTTTTAAAACATTCTGCTGTATATAACTAAGATTAGCCTATAGTTTTCCTTTCTCCCACTGTCTTTCTTAGTTATATGGAAGTTGTGCTGACATCATTGAGTTGGGAGACTTATTTTTTTTTTCCTTCCTTTGGGAGAGTTTCTATAATATTTGTGCTGTGTCTTTAAATGTTTGCTAGAATTTGCTTGTAAAGTTATTCGGGCTGGGGTTTTCTCTATCAAAAGTTTTTACTTACAGATTCACTTTACTAGTTATAGAACTACTCATATTTTCTATTTCTTCTTGTGCTAGTTTTGATAAATTGTATTTTCTTAGGATTTGTACTTTTTAATCTAAATTTTCACATTTCTTGACATAATATCCATTTATTATCTTTTCAGTTAGTTCGGTTTCTATTGTAATGTCCCTATTTTCATTCTTTTATTGGCTCTTTGTGCCTTTTGCCTTGTTTTCTTGATCATACTTACTAGGTGTTTTATCAATTTTGTTAGTCTTTAAAGACTTGACTTTGGCTTTGTTGATTCTGTAGTTACTTTCTATTTTATGAATTTTTATTGTTTTTGTTATATCATTTTTTCCATTTGTTTGGATTTTATTTGTTTTTTATGTTTGCTATTGCTTTTCTAAATTATTGAGGTGGATGCTTACATCTTCATTTTGCAAACTATACTAAGGTGCCCCAGGGTGCAACTGTGTACTCACAGAGCATCATGGAATATTCTACAATTTTAAGGAAACATGGCAATACTCAAAACCTATTGGATTCTACCCAAGCTAATAGCTTGAGATAATTCATAGTTTTGACATTAGCTCATACTGTCTTGTTAAGCTCTTCAGTGCTTCCATGCAAATATTTGTTGATAGAGTTTTTCTTGTTATTTTCATAGGGAAATCATGACCTTATTCACCATTGCTGCAAATGGAAGTTTTGGGTTGATGTTCTAATTAGCCTATATTTTTTAAACTGAGGACCAAATCTTCTACTTTCTTTTGTATTAAACAAGTTGTTCACAATAACTTTAGTACTTATAACAGTTATTGCTTATAGTAGTTACACCTTTCTGAGTGTTTTGTATGTTTTTAGTATTAATATCCATAGGATATTAATATATTCATATGTAGTATTTTCATATATTCCCCTGTCATTTCTGCCACTGCATAACTATATAATGAATTTACTCTTTCAATGCAGTTTTCAGGAATTGACCTGGATCAGGCATTATTCCAGCCTTTTCCATCAGAAATTGTGTTTCAGAATTATACTCCCTGTGAAGTCTATGAAGTTCCACTCATTTTGAGGAATAATGACAAAGTGAGTATGTTTGTTGGATGTAACTTTCATGGATATATAAGAAGGGATTAAATAATATGGGATCCCATAGGATCTTAGATAAATTCTTTAATTTGAAAGACCAAGAAAAATAGATAAAAACTTGCCCTTTGACTTTAAACTCAATGAAGACAAGACTATGTTGATTTATTCATATGTGTTCAGGCCCAGGTCAGTGCCCACCAGTGGTCAACTCCCAACATGTGCAGTTACATTTTGTTGAGTAAAATATTAGCTAGGTAAATGTCACAATTTTTTTTTAAGATTTATTTATTTATTTTAGAGACAGAGTGAGTGGGGAGCGGGGTGGGCAGAGAGAGCTTTAAGCAGACTCTGCTCTAAGCATGGAGCCCAACTCGGGGCTCGATCTCATGACCCCAAGATCGTGACGGAAGCTGAAACCAAGAATTGGCTGCTTAACTGACTGAGCCACCCAGGTGCCCCAAATGTTGTGAAATTCTTATGTGTGACCAGTTTAGCTAGGTTTTCATTCAAGACGGGGTGAAACATATATTCATGTTTTCTGCATTAGAGCCACCGTTTCCCCAAATGAAGGTATAAACTCTATTCATATCAATTGCTGTTGTTGAGCCAAATTATTTATACTTTACAAACTGTATTTTTAAAAAAACTTCAAAAAAATGGAGCTCCCTTTCCCCTTTTTCTTTCTCCTCCCTTCTACCGTAGATAGCCTTCACATTTTTGTCTACAGATCATTTTGGACAGCTTCTCCCACTGTCTATACCTTGTCCTTTTGTGGTTGCAACTGAGAGTTTCTTCTCCATCCGTATGCCTTTTTTTCCCTAGAGATAAATTATGGTTTACCTCAAGAAAAGGTATTAAGTGCCTGAAGATTTCCTTGACATCTAACAATAATGGAAGAAAGAATAATGTGGGAAGTCAGCATGAGCACAGTTAAGTGTGAAAAGTAATCAGTTGGGGAGGAAAGCATCTGAGAGATGCTGAACTTCAGATGTGAAGGCAAGTAGGAATACCTCAGGAGTTCAAGAATGTGGAGACAAAAATTCTAGCTATAAGAAAAAAGGGAAAATAAATGAAAACTATGCAAGAATACTTTAGTTATATTTGGTACAGTCGCTCATTAAAGGGATCAGTGATGCCTTTCAGAGATCAATGGGTTGATTTAGTGACAACAAAGTCAGACTCTGGAGAAAATGGTATATTTAGTTCTTGGCTACAGGAGTGTTAGCAAGAGAAGCTCAAGGGACAGAAGTTAAAAGGGTAGGCAGAGAGAAGAAAAAGAATTTGAGATGCTCAGAATTATGCCCCTAGACCTCAAGAAGAGATGTTACGTAGACATTAGGACTCTCTCTTTTCATATAGTCTGCCAACCAATTTCCTTTGTCACTTCCAGTTCTCTTTTTCCCTTTCTCCATGACTTTTTAACTCTTGCTCAGGTATTTTAAGGCTGTTAAATACAGAGAGAAGCTAGCCCAGGGGATACTTTGACCACTTCTCCTTGGCCCTAAACAAAAAATGATTGCCAGTAGGTATATATGGGCAAGTAAAGGGTATAGGGTATGTGTAAGTTTTGAATGCCAAGGGGCACTAAGTTCTCATGGATTACCCAACACCTCTTGGTTCGATGCTGCTACATTGTTGGACCTCATGAAAGGAGGGTTCCCATCCAGGGAAAGTCCAGCTACCAAAAAGCAGATCATTTTCTCTAGCCTAGGCAGGCTTATTCTTGGGTGAGTTACTCTAAGGACCCTTGTACTGGATGGCTGATATAAGCCTGCTTCTCTACTTCCTTAGTTCATGGATTCATAAATAACTGCTGGGATAGATTTAGGGCACAGAGAAATGCTTTCTATGCTATTTACCATTTGCTTGCTTCCTCATTGGCACTGAATGCAAAAGACAGAAACTGTTTGGTCATTTCTCTATCTCTTACACAACACAAGGTGAGAGTAAGCTGTGAACTCTCTACAAGCCACAACTCGATTCTACTTAAGATCTAATTATTAGCACCCAGACTCCAGAGTCAGACTAATCTGGTAGATTCCAGCTGAGCTGTCTCCCAGCTACAGACCTTGGGTAAGTCACTTCACTTCTCTGGGCCATGGTGACTATTAGTACCCATTTCAATCGATTGCTTGGAATATTAAATGAAGTAATGAACGTATTCAGCTCAGTGCCGTCACATAGGAAGCACTAAACCATTATTATTGTTATTAGTATGACTATTACTAGTGTTGCTGGTATTTTCCTTTTTAGTTTTTAATCCATAATTCTGCTTTTACCAGAAGTGTTCCCAGCAAGCTTCCACAGTGTCGTTCTGCCCATCATAAATGACACTGCGCCTTCCCCTTACCAGCAAAGCCAGCTGGACTCCTATCAGATTCGTACACGTCTCTTCCTTACCTCCCTGCTCTCTAGTCTTAAGATCTGTCTGAATTCTCTCTCTGCATTTCTTCTTCCTTTGCCCATCTGGGTTTCAGATTTGAGAGGTTGTGCGGGTTCTTTTGTCCTCATTTTGCACCCGAGGCTTCTTGGTCACCCTTTACTATAGTTCACTTTCTTCAGCCCCCTTTCAGTCTTCAAAAAAAAAAAATCTTTTCCCTTTCCTTGTGTCCCTGGAACCTCCACCCACATTCTCCTCACAATTGTATGTCTTTTATTGCTTGGACTGTCTTAGATAAGCAGAGATACATACCCTGGGCAAGGCAAGCAGGACAGAGGAGAACTTGAAGAGAAGGAGACCGTTTGAAGCCACTCTGACACTGGCCTGGGGACCCTGGACTGCTTGCTCTTTGTTCTTGCTTACAGTGGTGTCTCCTGAGGACAGTGCTCCAGATAGAAGTTGGAGTTAGGCTGGGACTTGGTGAAGCTGTGGCACTGAGGACAAGTGTCCTGTTCCTCATCTGTAGAAGGGGGGTTATAATGAAGCTCCGAGGTTATTGAGAGGATTAAGCAGCACATCATGTACAGTGGATGGCCCATAGCAGGCGTGCAGGAAGTGTGATTTCTTCTCCCAGAGCACTTCTCAAATGTTGGGAAATCCAGCTTACCTCCGCTGTGTGTGTGGGGTTTTAGCTGATCAAGCGGTTCCTCTTTGAACATAATCACATTTATTTATTTAGATTTTATTTATTTGACAGAGAGAGAGAGAGAGCACAAGCAGGGGGAGCGGCAGGCAGAGGCAGAGGGAGAAGCAGAGTCCCCGCTGAGCAGAGAGCCCGATGCGGGACTTGATCCCGGGACCCTGGGATCATGACCTGAGCCGAAGGCAGACGCTTAACGACTGAGCCACGCAGGCACCCCGGAGATAGTCACGTTTAAGTGATAAAATGAACAAAGGCTTGCAATAACAATAAAATGAATAATAATTTTAATAAAAATTAAAGCTCAAATGCACCGAGTGAGTCATCTCCTCTCACAGGTGAGGAAACGGAAGTTAAGCCTTGACCAAGGTCATGCATGGCTCATGAGAAGTAGACAGAGATTTCCTGGTGGACGGCAAAGCCCGTGCTTTTGCTTCTGCTTTTTCACAGGCAGAATGTCCACCATGGTGTGTTTTCCTTGCAGATTCCAAGGTTGGTTAAAGTTGTTGAGGAAAGTTCACCTTATTTTAAAGTCATCAGCCCCAAAGATTCTGGCCACAAAGTTGCTCCAGGAGTGCCATCCGTATTCCGAATCCTCTTCACTCCAGAGGAGAACAAGGTAAGAAATGGGTGACTACTTGTCACTAGCAGGTTATAATTCTGAACTGTTATGGAGGTGGTGCTGGTGTTGGTAGTGTTGTTGTCAGTGGTGTAGGTAGTTGATGGTGTTGGTGGCAGTGGGGGATGGGGGGGTTGGTACCGGTGTCGATGGTGTTAGTGGTGGTGGTGGTTAGAGGAGCAGTAAGGGTGGCTGAGAGTGGGGGTAGTTCACCCCTGGGAATGAGGGAGGAATTGTCAGAGCTGAGGGCTTCCATGAGCTGTAAGTAGCCAGGGTATAAAGAAGGGTTATCCTTCTGGAGGCTTCCCCACACCCCCTCACCTACCTCAGCATATTTATATTCAACTATGAGCCAGAGGGTCACCAAAAAAGGAAAAGGTGTGCTCCAGATGCAGTGAGTCGAGGCAGAGGATAAAGATTATGGCTTCTTGGGAAGTTTGGGATCTTAATTGCATCCCTCCTCCCTGAATTCTAACAAGTTTAAAAATGAGACCCAAGATCCAAGTATTGATCACAGTATCAGTCTCATTAATGGCAAAGAATGTGGCCAGTACCTAAGGCCCAGAGAGGACCTCCTCCGTCTCCCCAGTGATGGCAGATAGCTGGCCCTGAAGGGCCGACATCCAGATAGCTCCGCCGAAGCACAGGCGGACCAGCTAGAGCCAAGAGCAGAGACCTGCCCAGTCCGCTCAGCTCTGATTGCGCCTCGGCAGGCCAGAAAGAGCCCAAGTTAAAAAATGGGCCATTTCCCCTCTGCGCCGGTCCATTCTCAAACCCTTCTCAGTTGTAGAAATTCCGGTTCCTCCTGGAAGGAAGGAGCAGCTAAGGGGGACTGCAGATGGAGGCTTCCTCCCCAGCCCTTTTCCAGGAGTACAAAATTGTGGGTTGAGTTTTCTTCTCTGTGGGCCAAAGTGGGGACTTGTGGGGAGGAGGAAAGGGGTTTTACCAGCATAATTGAAGGAGTGAGGACAAAAACAAGGCTCAAATAAGCAGAACAAAATGTCAGGTTATATATAATGTTAACAGTGTGTGCTTATGTGTATTGTGCCATTAGGGTTGGAATCACAAAAGCATGTTAGAGACAGAAAGAACTAGCTTTGAATCTCTGCTTCTTCATCACTAACACGTGTCAGCCACTGTTAATGCCGTTACTAGTATTCCTGCTACTATTCCTTCTTTCCTGGAAAGCAGGGATAGGGAATATACGGTGGTCTGCCAAGCATGTATCACTCTAGGAAGTGGGTAGAAATTCTCTTGTAATGATGCTGCTGTTATAATTTTACTGTCTATTTCTTGGGTTGTGTTCACGGACCTGTAATTTTGCCTGGGGTCCTATTGAAATAAATGAAAAGATAAATAGCTCCAGAACCAGTGAGGGGCTTTTGATGTTGCTGTTGTTGTTCTCTTACCAAAGTCCTTGTTTTTTTCTTGAAGCTCTGTATCTGAATACTGTACTTGAAGAGATTGGCATCTGGATTTAGTTTGGGTGTCAAATTCCTACACTGTCATTTTGATAGGAAGCCTTTGTGCAGCTTGAAATATAAAGCTTGCTGGATTTGAGGAGTTGGAGTTCCTTACTTTTTTTTCTGTGCTGGAGAAAATATGTCTTCTGTTGGATACGTATTGTTCTATCTGTAGGTAGTCTGGCTGAGAAATGAACACACAGAAGTTTCTGAGGAAGTGGAATGTTATGTATTTGTGACAAGCGTGTGGGTTTTATGGATGAATTCATTTGTCAAAATTGTACATTTAGTATTTATGCTTTCTAATATATCTAAATTCTACCTTAAAAACTATAAAATATAATAACAACAATGGAAGGAGTGACTGGATGGAGATATTGATGAAGCCAGGAGGGCAGAGTGTGAATACTTGTTGAAGCTGGGTGGCATGTACATTGGGTTTGTTATACTTTTTTGTTTTCTTTGTGTATGTTTTTAACTTTCCCTAACCAAAAGCTAAAAGAGAAAGATTTTATTGCTGCTTATCTATACAGCAAATAAATAATCAAAATGTATGTTAGGCATGTTTGTATTTACTGTAAAAATATGAAATGCTAACATTCCTATTGAGGTTATTACTTGGCTATATTTTGTGGCTGCTTTTCTTGGCTCCTGGCTTTTGTCCTCCCTCTTACCCTTCCATTTCACCAACACTGCCTGTCTATTGGCAAGCCCCTAGTTAAAGAAAAATTAAGTTGAAGTTTGCTTTACTGTTTCTTATAAGTACTTAAAAGTTATCAAAGGCTATATGCATGTAGGAGGAGACACCAAGTGAGAACAATCGCTACCTATGAGAAATTTAAGTAGCCAATTTTGAATACAGTAAGATTTTTCTGTTGGATTTGGACTCCAAGCTATAATAGAATTTACAGAATGTTTTTCTAAAATATAGTGATTTCTCCTCTTGCTGGCTTGTCTAGGACTGATGGTGGGAATTTGGGGACGCTCCTGCTGCTAGTTCTGGTCCCCCTTTTCTGCCAAGATCCTGTTGCATGTCCACCATCAGCAGGGTCCCTTCTCAGGAGCCTGTGCCGGTCGTCTGGGCATCTGCAGTCACTCAGTGTTGGAAAGCCAGGCACAGAATGACCAGCTCGGATTAGTCGTGCTGTCTGTAGTGCCGCTCCAGACTGTGGCAGAGGAGCCAGGTTTATTTTTGGGGAAATAGAAGTCAGTGTTTTCACTGTGTCACTTTCTCTTGGCCAGATTGATAGCCAACGTACATACATATTTTTCTTCCTTATCCCCTGCTGATCTGAGAACACTCCATTCTCATTTACCCTCCTCACATCTGGAGGACGAGATATGTAAATTGCAGCATGCCACAGCTTAATAAGCCAGTCCCCTTTCAATTGGATTTTCGGCACCCATGTATATTAGCATGTCGAAGATGATAATGTAATTTACATTTTTCCCTGTCATCTTTTAATCTGGCTTCCTGGGGTTTTAACTTGTTAAGAATGCCAAGTGCCCAGATAACAGGTGCAGCAAATTCACTCTGGCTTTCCTTATCTCTTCTTGTCACACAGACTTTTAAAAAAACGATTGGATATCTTATTAATCTAATAATCCTGGTGTGTGGCAATGTGGTAGAAATACAAGAGTCAGTGTTCTCATAATAACACTGTAAAATTCTGGAGCCTTGTACTTTCCCTGACCCCTTGAATTTGTATCTTTACTATTAAAAGGAGGATGAAAAATATTAGGCTTTTGTAGGAAAGCAAAACTGGCTGCTTCCTTAGACTTAAGAAAGCATCTGTTTACTATAGAATTGTCATATGGATGTGACTGTGGTGGTCTGAAGAGCAATTTTATTGCTCACTTATGTTTTAAGAAAATCTATAACTTGTCAAAATAGTTTTCCTGGTTTGCTACTATGAAATTTAAAAATTGTGGTCCAAGAAGACTAGAAAAACATTAACGTATTTTATGCTATCTAGGTGTACGGTGATAATGAATTATATTGCCAACATTTTTAATTAAAGTGTAGATGCCATAAAATTTTCCACAATCAACCATTTTTGTTGGCAAAAACTGTGATAGGGATTTTGTCTTCTTCCTGCCTGCAGTTAGCCCTCCCTAAGTCTGTCTTGGTCACCCCTGTCACCCCAGTGCCTAGCATAGTGCCTGACAAATAAGAAGCATGCGGTAAATATTTGTTGAGTAATGTAAGTAAGTAAAAGTTAACTTCAAGAAAATCTAAGGAGGTTTCTTCAACTCGAGGATGGCCTGCAGATGATAAAAGCAAAAGCATATAAAAAGGGCTCAAATATCTTTTTGTGCCATGAATGTATTAGACGTTCACTTTTTCTTGTTTCTCTCCATTTTATGTCACATCTTCAGTGAGTCTCTGTCACTACTGTTTAGCATTCCAGACTTGGTAAATATCATCTTATAATAAAGCTAACGAGGATGTTGGGACTTCTCTTTGTGAAGAACCCTTGATAGTTTAGTACCCAGATAAAGATATTAAAAATGAGTAATATTCTTTCATTTGCTCTGGGCCAGGACCAGTTCTATGAGCCAGGACCCACTGGAGAACAAAACAAGCTTTGGCCTTCATGGAGCTTATGTTCCTCAATGAATAACAAGCAAATATATAATTTAATGTCAGCTACTGACATGGTAGAGAATAGAGAGTGATGGGCTCCTGTTTCTTTTCAGTACGGAGATCAGGGAGACTTCTGACATAGTAGATGCCTTGATGACGTAGACTTGATGATGTAACACTGAGTGGAGAACCAAATTAAGCTGACAGCAGGCTCAGGAAAGTGCAGGGAAGCATGTGGTAGAAGTGGAGGTACCCGCTGGAAAATGGTAGGAAAGGAGGTTGCAGAGGGCGAGCTCATGAAAGGTCTTAGAAGTCCTGCAAAGTAGGGTAGGAAGCCACCGGAAAGTATAAAAAAATTATTTGATTACGGAAGCTTGCACCCTAGGTAGAACCAGAGTGAACCGTCATCACCCAGATTTCCAAGTTATCAGCACATGACCAGTCTTGCTTCATCTATCTTGCTCCTTATCAGAGGGTTTTGTACTAAGTCCCATACATCATATTATTTCATCTGTAAATACTTTGTTATTTGTCCCTGTCAAGGACCTCTTAAAGTTAACATAACCTCAATACTGTTATACCTAAAAAATTACAGTAACTCCCCAGTATCATCAAATGTCCAGTCAGTATTCACATCTTCCCAGTTGAGAGACATATATATAAAGATAAATATAAGTATTTTTCAGGGTCCACACAAAGTGCTGAGTGCATCCCCATCAGGTTCTGTAGAATGGTCCTCTGTCCCCTCCGTTTCCTATAAACTGGTAGTTTGATCTAGAGGCTTGATTAGATTCATATTTGATTTTGGGGGTGGCATGAATTCTTAGGTGTTGGTACTTCTACTGTATTACATCAAGAGGCACAAAAATGTCTGTCATTCTGTTTTGTTTTTGTAATGATCCAGTGAGGATCCTGAGGTGCAGCTCATACAGGAAAGGTAGGATACATAA